GAACGCCATGTTTTCCCTCAGATGTCGAGGTCTTCATAATCCAATCAATCATCAGAAGAAAGATGAAGGGAGAGAGCAGACAGCCTTATGTGACTCCGGTCCTTACTTGGAATGCATCTGTCAGCTGTCCTCCATGCACGATCTTGCACTGTAGTCCGTCATATGAGTTCCGGATAATGTTGACAATAGTCTTAGGAACTCCATAGTGTCAAAGAAGTTTCCATAATGTCCTTCTATCTACACTGTCAAATGCTTTTTCATAATCAATGAAGTTGATGTATAGTGACGACTTCCTTCCAATTGATTGATCTATGATGATCCGCAGTGTCGAAATTCGGTCTGTTCACGAGCGATTCTTAAGGAATCTAGTTTGTTGATGTCGAAGTTGGACGTCTACTGTATCATTCACCCAGTTCAGTTGACCTCTGTTGAAAACATATCGTGGTACTGACAGTAGTGCGACGCCTTTGCAGTCTTCACATTTGCTCAGATCGCCTTTCTTTGGTATCTTGTTGAGGTGTCCTTCTTTCCAGTCCACCAGCACCTGTTTCTTCTCTCAAACCTTCTTGAATAGAAGGTTAGACATACTTGTAGTTCCTTCTATGTCTAACTTCAGTGCGTCGGCCGATATATTGTTTAGGTCCTGCTGATATATATATATATATATATATATATATATATATATATATATATATATATATATATATATATATATATATGAGGAAGGGGTTGAAACCTAGTTTTCCAAGTCGTCCACAGCTCAATTAAAAACCCGTCACTACATGTATCAAATTTTCAGTACTGTACTAGATGCAGAGAAAATGTGACCCAAGTCAAATCTCTGCATTTAACTTAAACGCTCTAGCAAAACTAGAGACTTGCGCATGGATCAGGGTTTGCTGAGAACAATGAACTGATAGGTATTTAGTTGGAACGAAATCAAATACCATGACCTACTCTTTCTCAACTTTAATCTAGCGCGATGGGTGATGAATTGCTTGTCCACTGAACATGCCACAGATATTCGGATTTTGTCAACGCTTTGACCACTAACACCTAATATGAATCGTACCCATCAAAAGACAGAAGCGAGAAAGTCCGAAGATATATTTGATAGGCTCTCAATATATCGAGAATCGTCTGATCTAATCTGGCTAGCGATTGCAGGGGTTGTTGAGCACGGCGTTCCCACTCGTGATCTGGTGCGCATGCATGACCGAGAGCCTTCAGCTAGGTGATTCCATTAAAACTAATGCGGTCAGCATCCAATGTCGAAAACCTACAGAGCCATTTATTTTGGCCATTTATTTAATGCTACACCATAAATGTGCCGCATATTCTTCCACCACATTATTCACAACTTTTGGAAATGCTGAAGTTATTGCAAACTATCTTTTCTCGAGTGAATAGTATGATGGGAGTGTGTAATTCTTATTGAGGCCCATCTCATTGTGTCGTCTTGGATTTCTTTATGTACTGAAGTTTGTTCTTTCTTGGTCGTACATGTATCTTGCATCCAAAGTGTCTGTTTTTAAAATAACTTGAACAGAATAACAGAGGTCGGTAGAAGACATCGAAGAGATTATGAAACACCTTCCAACTTAAAAGTGAGAAACAAAAGTCATGAACCACAGCCTCGTTTTCATAAATGTCCAAAGGTTGTAGCGTAAATTCATCGAATAAATATTCCAGTATTCTTCTTTTTAGAGAGAAAGGTAAGTCGCTAGTATCTACAAATCATAGGCTAGAGAAGAAGTTCATTTTCCATTTGACGGTGGAAGAGATTGGTGTGAAAGGGATTAATTTGTAAATTGAGAATCAATTTTAATATGATGTAAAAGACACATTTAATACATGAAGCGAATAATTAACAAGAAAAACAAATTTAATAAGGTCAAGATCACTTGACGATACTTATAAGGAGCATTACAGGTCTCAGATTAGCTTACATTATTCGATCAATAGTCATCATTCACTAAAGTCTACAACCAAATTTCAAATTCTTGTTTGGACGCAGATGATCCAAAAAATCAAAGTTTATTTGATTGAGTAAAACTAAGTTCCTTTGTAAAGTGTATGAAATGTTTTTGAGCAAACAGTACTAAATTATGTCGGAACACTGACCACTTTTTCAATCCAAGAAGTCTCAGTGTAGAAGAAAAACAAACTGGGTCAGCAAATAGCGGGTAAATATCTGAAAAACGGTAAGAATATTTTCAATGAAATAGGACGCAAATATGATTGCATGGAGTCAAATAATCGTTTTCGTTAGTCAGTCAAAGAAAAACAATGATCTACTACCCCACACCGTAACCTTAAACTCGTCTAAACTGGACCTTAATGACAGGTCTCCTAGACCAAGCAGCAACAAAACTAAATAGCAAGGGCAACCGAAGTTAACTACTCAAGGCTTAATCAAAGAAGATCATGAAATGTGAAACCATGTTCACACGAGTCCAGGATGAAAATTAAAATACAAATTAGAAAGGGAAAGCAAGGGAATAAAAATTATTTACAAACCTTCAGTGTTCTTTATTGTCGCTTAATTTGCATAGTTTTTAATCGAAACCAAATCATTTTAAGACTCATCGGCCTAATACACCATAACATGATGACCAGCTTATTGTTCTTCTTTAATGCACCTAGATAACAGATGGAATCTTATCATAAGTAGTCTGTATTTAGATGCAAAAAAAATAGTCGGTATTATGTCCAAATTTTATTCATTCTCTAAGGAAGTGGCTTACACTGGGTCACGAAATGTCAGATACTTTAATTTTTCTACTAATTGGGATATTACAGAAATATATTTATTTATTTATAAAGATAATGTCAGTTACGATCAAATGAGTGGGTTGTTTGGACAACTGCCCATGTTTCAGAAGACTGTCAAACGTCAGCTAGAAGTTGTTGGGACAGAATTTGACATCGTGTGATCATATATCGATTAACAACAGTTGGCAGGTAGCTTAAAACAAATATTAAACAACCAGATATGTGAATATTGTCATCAAAACAGCCAAACAAAAATCTGAAACATCAATTGTTTATGAATTTAATGTACTTTTGTTGTCTCTTTGAGTCGGTGCTTTCAGTAGTCTAATACTGACCAGCTATAACGAAATAATAGATGCTGATCAATTGGAATTTAATGAAGCCAACCAAATTTTTATTGTATCAATGAACTAACCTCGTTGTATTTAGCTTGATAGATAATTTCGTCACAGTTCTTAGTTACTTCACTGATTTCAGAGTGTGTTTTACTGGTTTACCAATGGAAGATATACTTAATGATGAGATCCTAGTAGATTCAGTCAGACTGGGACAGTTGGCATCAGGTGTTGCAAGTATATCCATTTTCTTATTTCGATGAACTATATACCAATACAAATATTTTTTTGTACATATCATTGAGGGACGAGTTTATCTACAACGTCTATAATGTTTGGTAAATTAACTGGGCTCAGTAGTATATGTGATTTTTCGGTTTATGTACTTGTTGAAGGCTGACCTATGAGTGAGTTACCGCTGCACATCGATATTTTTAGGTTATCACTACTTCTGTTTAACTTTTAAGATAGTGAAAAGCCTATGTAATATACCGACAAAAGAATTGAAGGATATTTTGTTTCCCTGGGCCTAGAAAAATAGGATCTAATGTCACCGATAACAAGCTCTTGAAGACTTGCACAACCCACGTGAACCCTGATGAACACTGGTTAAACAAAAAAAATATACATCGTTGTAATTTAATTCATTTAAGATACTACTCTATCAATTTATCGTCCCTGATTATCATATAGTTTTAATTTTAGTCTTACTAGCTGCTTTGTTGAAAAGCTTAAGTACATCGTATCTTAAACTAAGCTGTCAGCTCACTTCTATTATATTTTCAACAGATTCTTTTGTACACACCATCTTTACCACTCCTTTAATAAACAGCATACCTTCGTCATAGAAACATACACACGGAAGAGCTGGACACACCAGATTATAGCAATATTCATGCAGAATTCCCAGTAAGTTGTGCTTACGTGTTCTGTGTTTTCCAAGTCAATCGTTGGTTGATAACTAGATAATAGCGATGTAGAATACTGAATTTATATATGTCCTAAGATCTAATTAGATCATGGTGCGTTCAGTTAGATGGATAAAATGCAACATTAGCTTTTGGTGCATATTTATTATTTGTTAACAAAAAAATTAAGTCAGCGACTTATTGTGTGACTTCAGCCATTAAAGTTTATTGAAACTAACGGAAAAAGCATAAAGTAATGTATGCCTATAAGACTGCTTGTTTCGAGGAGTTACGTGATCCTCCAGTTATATTTCACCATCTATATGCATAGAAATTAATCAGCTAATCTTAAAATACTTGAGTATTCGGTTTAGAATGTGGTTAAATGTCATTGTATTATAATTCTTCAACTGATAATTTCCATTGTCGATATATTGTATTAAGTTCGTTTGTTTGACGGCTCTAGTTAGAGTAGCTCTGCTCTAAACCTTTGAAACCTGAACCCTATGAGCTTTGACTACTCGGCGCCTAATTGGTCAATCGCAGTTATTCACAAAGAAATATTTAGATTCTGCGATAGTACCATGTGAATCATTTTCTGAGTTAGGCTTTGTGTTTAGGGATTGTGATGATCACTTTATTAAAATTGTTGTTTTAGAATACCCACTTCAGTGATAGGAAAATGTCTTACGATTATCTTCTTCTCCAATTACTTATCATAACTAAGTGTGAATAAAGTAAATGGAGAGACATTCATTTTACTATGGAATGGAAGACAGTTGTATTTGACTGGGATTTGTTGGTTTATCAAGAACATCTGAGTAAAGTCACAAAGGTAATACTACTCAAAGAATGTAGAGTTCATCAGATGTGTTTTTTCAGAGAAAACTAGTAACCTAGTGTTTTCCTTTGAATAAAATAATCATGCAATGAAAAACTATATCAAAGTATACACAATGTAATGATATAAGTATTTATATAATTAAACTTCGAATCCATAGATTGTTCTCATTGTTTGTAAATCATCTCTACTAAGTGAATAAATATGTCGAAATAAACAGGGAAAAGATATTTGATTTTTAATACATTCTGATGAATTTGTATTAGACTGTAATGTTGATAGACCCAGTTTGTATTTATTTCTTTGCCTTTCGATTGCTAACTGTTTCTCTGATTCCGGTTGCAGATGGAATACCTATAAATTAATTTTTTTGAAAGAAAAATAATACTCAATTAATCAGTAAGCAGTTTATATGAAATATATAAGAGTAGAGGATATTCTTAGGTTAATAGTCTTTGATCATAGCTGTCTTCAAAACACTGCTCGTATATCCTGGGACCATCGAGTAAGTAACGCAGTTTATAGGAAACGGGTACTAGGTAAGGATGGCAAATCAATTGATGAAGTAGTGAAACTTCATCAGTTGAGATGGCTGGGACACATGTTACGAATGCCCAACCACCACCTGCGTCGACGTGCAATGTTCAGTGGTATAGGAGTTGGTTGGAAGAAAGCTAAGGGCGGCCAGATCAAAACATGGCACACGATCATGAATTCATTGACAAGTGGACTGAGTCATGTTGGTAGGTGTAGACTACCTGGTTGGGTACAGCGAGACGATAACAACCGATGGTTAGAGATCATGAATGACATGGCTCGAAATCGTTTGCAATGGTGCAGGTGCATCCACTCTTTGCGTTCTCCTAAATTCTAATCTGAATTCTTCATATCCCTTTTTTCCTCTTTCCAAATTTATTTCACTGTATTAAACTCCTTGAATAACATCTTCAAGCCCTAATGTTTCCGATTACTGCTTATACTCTTACTACCTCTACCATTACGGAATTTGGGTCGACAACTGCATCTCTGTGCTAAAGTGGTATGGCAATTCGAACTGATGTACGTACATACGAAGTTCTACGTTGGTACTGACTGACTGATATAAGACGAATTCATGACATAAGATGGTATTTTACGGTATGGTATATTTCCAAGATATATATTGCTGTAAAAGGAGGTGAGAATAAATTGATAACGTTGTGAACTTATAGAAAGTGAGTTGTCTGCATCGTATGTTTTGTAAAGTGATTTGCTATAATGATTGAAAAAGTTCGGTAAATATCCACTATTGAAAAAAGAAGATCATGGTATCGACTGACGATATTGTTTTACTTCCTATGTATGTTGAAAATCACTGGTTTAAGACAATAGGTATCATGAATCAACACTGATGCAAATGTTTTCGGACTCAATTATCGAATATTTATTTTTTTCGTTTACTATTCTACAGCAAAACCGTCCCTGACATATAACGATTTTTGTTTTCAATCCTTCGATTTTGTATTGTTGTTTATCCAATTGTTTGTCTGTAGATAATAAAAGGCCAAATATAATAATTTATTACAATGCACAAAATGTTTAACTGTTCTGTTTTCTGGCGTGTTATTTATACTTTGACTTCGACTTAAACTAATGAGAAACTTAATAACTTAGTTGATGGAACTCAACTCCAGTCGAAATGTTATCTTTCAAATGCCTTTGTTTACATCTTCATGTATTAACAAGGTGCATGTGTGTGTGGTTATTCGATCCAGTAGCATAACTACCTCATTTATTTCCATCCACCTTCTTGTAGTGTCGCTCCATCTATAATATTATAGAAATGGCGTGAAACACCACATGAATGTATTTTGCTAAAATATGAACAAAGCTGATAAATAGGTCCAAAGTATTTGTCATTTAAAACAAACTCTAAGGATACTCACGTTATTGCTTCTATATGATAATGCTTCTTACTAAAAAAATACAGTTCTAGGATGGTATTTATTTTGTACATGTAATTTTTATACCGTAAAACAAAATACACGTATACCAACTCAGATGAAAAACTTCAGTTCGCGGTAACTTTTAATTTACAGGTAGTAATCTGTCAAATTTTGAGGATACAGTTACCTAAATAATATAAACATTTGACTTACATAAGAACACCTTTTAACGGCGTTTTCTTACTTACAGGTGTACTTTGTTTAAGTATTAACAGATCATACTGATACAAAAATCCATTTCCAGGAGGATGTCTTGGAGATTTACATACGACGCTGAGTTTCAAAGTAGGGATAAGACGTTTATCAAATGTTCTTTATGTAACACCACTTTAAAACAATTTGGTTACCAAAAACGTTATAGGGGGTTTAAACACCTCAAAAATGCTCTCAGTCAACAAGTTTAAACACTGGGCAAACGCAAACGGATTCTAAGCTATCAAAATACTACACTATAAGTGCGACATGTAATCTCGTGTAGCAGTGTTACAGTGAGCAAGCACATGCTTCACATGACCATGGTCGACACTCAAAGATCCCTGTTCAGATTTTTCCATTAACCTATACATGCGGATGAGTAGTATACATCAGTATTTGGCTGTAGATAACAAAGTTTTCTGTGAAATGGTAGTCTTTGTTCTTCGTAAAGTAGGCTAATCAAGCGTGTGATCATTAACTGAATCAGTCAGCAGATGGCAACAAAAACTGTGGTTTGATGACATTGAACTATTTGTTGAGATTGCTGGTCTGGTCTCTAAATTCACTAATGAACATATAATTAATAAGTCTGATATTAAATGTTTTCTTATCATTTATTGTAACTAACAGTAAGTTTAAAGATATATCAATAACATGTATTCAATTTTATGTAGTTACTATTCGCTTATGATTTTAGATTATTTAGGGAATCAGGAGGAAGCCATGCTTGAATTGTGTAATTTCAATTATATTTTTCTTTAGAACATTTCAGCAAAAGCTCCTAAGGTGATACAGTCAAACTGCTGATAGTTGTAGTCATATTTACCGGACAAATCTATCATCATTATTATAAATACGGTCTAGTTAATTTTAATCCATAAGTTATAAAATAAAAATGACTCAAGTATTAATTAGTTAATCATCATTATATTAAATATTGGTGATAAATGTTGTGTCCTGATAAGAATAATGAGTGATATTTTTTTTTGAGATCTATTTATGGACCAATACTGTGCGAACATTTTTTCTCGTATAATTGTTAATTAACTAAACTATTCTTATTCATGTCTCTCTTATCATAAGTTTTATTTTAACCTATGAACTGTTATTATACGATTTTCCATTCTTCAATTATTCCCTATCACTACCTCCCACATTCACAGCCACATTTGGCCAAATTTTGTACAAATGTTATTTTCTATTTTATGGTACTTTGTGGTCTGTCTGGTTGATATATAAACCGAGTATGTTTGAAATAAACGATTCATATCGTAGAGGCTGAGACTTGTGTTCTGGACTTAATTGGCTAGGCTAAGCGGAAAGCAGGACCAATCAGAATTCTAGGCTGCTCATATGGGTTTACGAGTCATTGGTCCGATCGATAATTCACTGCTTTCTAATCGTCAGTCAGAAGTTATAACAATAAACCATTACCGTTAATTAAATTCGGATTTCCTTTATTATCAAAACAATAGTTAATCCAAACGGAATATTTTGAAGAAAAAAAACTAAAAAAAAACTAATGGTAACTAGGAGAACTTAGTTAAAAGATTATGAAGAATGAGAAATAGACGATGTTTCAACATTTGATTATCATTTTTTTTTTTAAAAACAAACATCATTATAGTTTAATTTTTGAGAAATCTAAGTTAGATTAGTATAAGTATTTTTTTTTCGTTATACAATAATCAGGATATAGAAAAAAGTTTTCATTAATAAACGATGATTTGTTTAAATTTTAAACACAGAATACCTACAAACTCGCTTAAACGTGAATCATAACTTTCAGATTTCATTATGTAAGCAGTAAATAAACTAAATGTAAAAATGTAGATTATTTAATCCAGAATAATTGATTATAAGTTAACATTCTTTGATTTAGAATGGGTTCATATATTCATGCTGTCATTGTATTCAAAAAGTTAGAGGCAATGACAGACGTTGAATCTTCACATAATAAAGCTTAATATAAGAAAGGGTTTTTGTGGATATTATAGTAATTTTAACAGTTGAGATCATGTGTCAGTTGAAACTAGACCACCATGGAAAACCTGCAAGCACTGGACACTCGTTTTGTCATAGTACTGAACTGCTCAGTAGAGCACATTCGAACTCAGGGACTATCGGTCTCGCGCGCGAACGCTTAACCTCTAGACTACTGAGCTGACATCCAACGGTATTAATGTCTAACTTCAACTAATCAACGTAATTGAGCGCACTGCTGAGGAGTCCCACACTATGACAAAACAGCCATCCAGTGTTTTCAAGTTTTTCACGGTGGTCTAGGTTCAAATTATTCATTATCTCAAGCTTAACTTTCAATTAATCGGTCTACATAAATTCAAAAGACCTAATTAATGTAATACATCAATTAACAGATAAAAACGAAAAAAGGTTTATTCGGCAATAAGTTCCCTTTTTGACCAATGGAGTCTAATATGTGTCTGGTATAAACAGGTATCTACCTCAGACAACGGATGAATGGTTGCGAAAGATCACAGATCAATTGAACTTAGACATTAACATCGTTGGATGCCGGTTAAGTGGTCTAAAGGTTAAGCATCCAGAAGTGAGAACGAAGGTCCTGGGTTCAAGTTCCGTATGCAGGATCGTGAATGCGCACCACTGAGTAATATCATATTAGAACGAAAAATCCGTTCAATGGTGGTATAACTGAGATCAACTCATGAGTTCAGCTATTAAAATTTGTTAAAAAACAAAAAAGTCTTATCGATAATACAATCACAATTTGACTAATTATTAAATTTCAATAGTTAAAATCATGAATCAACTGAAGCTAGACCACCATGAAAAACCTGGAAGTACTGGACGGCCCTTTCATCCTAGTATAGGACTTCTCAGCAGTGCGCATCCACGATCCCACTCTCTGTTATATCCTAGTGAAGATTTAATTACAGGTAACTTACGAGGGCTATTAATGGACTAATATTCCATAAATATTCTTATTGTATATATATAATTGTATATTGTGTATATTTATATTCCCTTTATAATAAGCTTTATTTTAACCTATAATTTATTATTATACGATTTACTGTCACTAAATTATACTCAGTTTATTAACTACTGCCTCCCACATCCACATCCACTTTTTGGCTTTATTGTGTACAAATATTATTTTTTATTTTATGATATGTTGCGGTCTGTTTGTTTGATATATAAACACAGTATGTTTGAAATATATGATTCGCATATTGGAAGCTGGTATTCGGTGTTCTGGATTCACGTGAACGGGCTAGGCGGACATAGGACCAAATAAGGATGCTAGACTGCCCATACCTGTCGAACGTCATTGATCTGACACAGTGCTAAGATTGTGTAAGTCGTATTTTGATTGGTGGATAAATCAGGTGATAAAAACCGGACAAAAAATCACAACACCCCGCCCTCGTCGAGATTCAAACCCTACACCTATCAGTCTCGAGCGTAAACACTTAACTATCAATTTCAAATCATAATTTATACTTACTATTGAATTACTAATTAATTTATCCAATTCTGAAAAGAATTCCATTGATTGTTGATGAATTTTATCATTGATTCCTGATTCTATTGATTCTATTTTACAGATACAATATTCAAAATTGTGTTTATTATTGATGAAAATATTATTATCACTGATAAATTGATTTTTAGTTTTAGACAATTTATTAAATAATCTTTGAAATATTGATTTTAATATTGAATGAGATTTGAATTGTTTCTGTTTCATTTGTACCATATTATAAGTAGTATCTTTATTTAATTTCATAACAATACAATGTGTATGATAGAATTTATCATTAAGATTTTTATGAATTTGTTTAATATAAGATTGAACAAGATCAGAATTTATTAAAGATTTATTAATGATATTGTAATGATCAATTTTATCCGGTATTACTATATAACCAATCCATAATTGTTTAAATGTAATTGGTTGACATAGAATTAATGTAATTGAATCAAATGAATTAGGTAATTCATCATTTCGATTAGCTATAGCAATTAAATAACCCCAACCAATATGATGCCATAAATAACTTAATTCAATTAAATTAATATTTGGTATTTGATAATTATTACCCATATAACGTACAGATAAATTGATTGGATATTCACATACAATAACATATGTAGACTGTGATTGATACATTTGTTTTAAACAATGAATATTTGTTTGTAATGAAATTGTATTAAATGAAGAATAATTAAATTTAGATAATGAATATGTTTGATGTTCTAAATGAATTTGTTGATTTGAAGGTATTAAATTTTGTAAAGAATGATATTTTTTATAAAAATTTCTTTTATATAAAATTTTTGATGTATTATTCGATGAAATTTGTTCATCAACATGATCATTGATAGGTATATGATTTAATTGATCTTGTGAATAACCTTCACAAGACACTGTATTAGTATATGAAAGATGGTTTACATTGTTTTTAACTAAGTTAGATATATTAGGAATAGAATGATGATGATGATGATATGGATTGTGAAATACTGTTATATTCTTATGATTTTCTTTCATTATAAATTGTGTTTTATCAATTGTACATTGTAAATGTGACTGTTTATTATTGATATTATTGTTGTTACTAATACATTTTGAATTGTTCATTAATTCATTCGGATTAATTGAACTCATAAATTTGTTGTTTGTTTTATATTTTTGTTTAATTGAAAAATCAGATGATAAGTTTTTTAATAATTGAATTGGATGTTTCATTTCAATTTGATTATGTGAATTCATATTTGATAAATGACATTTATAATTTTAATTTACAGTCATACATTTATATGATAAATCATTAATTGAATTTACAAACTTAGGATCTATACATTGAGTGTATTTCTATGTGTTTAAGTATATACGTATGTGCGTGAGTACGTAGGTACGTGTGGACGAGGAGAGGCGAGAAGTTTTACTTTTTGTTCAGAAATGATTATAATCACGTACCACTTTTTTTTTTTAGAAACTGATTTTTTCTAGTCGCTATGGTCTATTACTCTTATTGTAATGACAGATACAATTAGATTATTTCATTGATTTTGATTGACATGTAAAATATCATGTAAGTATATAAAGGTTTTTTGCAAAAAACAAATTAGATAAAGATAAAATACTGCAATCAAAGTTGTCTTAATTCTATTGACATCACAACTATTATCTAATAACTATTGATTTTTGTGAGAACAAAATTACTCAATAAGTTAGTTATTAATTTTTATTTACGACCTCTCATTTATTTTTACATACCATTTATTAGCATAGTGATATGATAGTAAGATAACCGGATTATATCACATTTATAATATTAATACTTGATGTATAATAAATACGAAACTTAAGCCATATTATTACATAATACAACAATATTAAAGATGTTATATAGATACATATGTGATAGTAAATTAGTTTTCATTAGAAATTCGCATCACAATTAGAGGATAGTTATTATTAACCATGAACTACTAAACAGCTATTCTGTTCCAGTTAATTTAAGTGTCCTGAAGATTATTCACCCAGAAACGATCTGAGATGAAAACGGTTTTCTGAGATTTTGATTAAATGAAATTTTCGATTGTTAACAGCAATAAGGAGAATACTAATCATAGATGAACGCTATGATTTAATGTGGTTAAATGATGGCTACTCACGAGGCTATATTATTGACTTAAGCCTTTGAACGATTGGAAATCAAAGATAAGATCACTAGCTGGATGAATTGTTTTTTTTTTCACATAACAAAATAACATGTTTATGTACAAAATCTTAACAGAAAATGACCATGATAAAATGTCATAAGCGATTGGACAAAATTAGCTTGTAAGTCATGCATTCTTCAATCGACTGAAGCCTGACTGTTAGGCCTAATCTCTGAACATCATATCACGATCAAAACTAGCAATATTGGAGTACCTAATGTTATATCTCTTTAAAGGCGATCTCTTGATGTCCTTGTGAAATCTTTGATTTGTGAAGTCAATCAAGTTGAGAGCAAGATCGTAATTCGTTATTGGTACTTATGGTGTGTGCTACTTATATTGACATAAGTAGTATATGATGTTAGTCGTGAACAGAAGGTCTGGCAGCAGAGAGGCAAGAGAACCGAACATTAAAAAGTGGAAACATGATGCAGTTTGTATGAAAATGCAAGAACAATGAATTCTGAGTCATTTTGAGACAATTGGTCGACATTTTGCAAATTAAGCATTTACTTTATGATTGTTAGATTTTATTAACAAGTCCTGTAATTTCACGTTAAGCACATTCCATTCTCCCCACCGGTGTTCTGTTCACTACGTTGCATAAACCGGTAGTTTCAAGGTATTGCACTACCTGCACATTCCGAACAAGGTAGTTTTTAAGTAAGACAAGTCAATGGTAGATTTAGCAATAATATAGTTGGTCATTTACTTCCTACTCTGAAGTCAACCATTTAAGGATATCATATGAAGCGTCTACCTGGTCAAACTAAATTTTTCTGAATGACGAGTATTAGTCGTCAGAGAAAAACTTCATATTCTCACACTAACCTTCCTAAATTTCTTCAAGTTTCCATTAAAATGAATACGATACCCTTTACCGGAGCCTTAAAAATTATATTTTTCATATAATAAATTTAATGACATGGTTAATATTCATTGTGAACTTGTGAAGAATTGTTGAATATTTACGAAAAGTTATCCAGGTCCGTTTTATCATAAAAGTGATTAAACTAAAGATGTAAAAGATATAACTGCCTTGATGGATTTACGCTGAAGTGCTTTTTCTGCTGTAAATATTACCATTTTTCCTTTTTATTGATAACTATCTCATCTGAATGTTGTAAGTGAAAGTGTGACCAAGTAGCTAACATATCAGGTGGGTTTTTTTAAAAATCCTAAGTGTTGCTTTCCCACATTACCTACATAACCTTTGTAACTATTCAAATATACTCTTTCACCTCGACAAATAGTTTTGTATCTATTATAGTGTTATTCAATGAAAGTCTCAAGCACAATCATTCAGACTAACAACTAGTCAACCATAGAAAATCCCATAATTTTTTACTATGACATTATAAGATGAAGCATGTTCTTATGTTATTATATCGAACAAAGTCACCTAGTTACCTCAATGTTTGTTTCATGATTTGTATAGTATTCATAATATAAGTAAAAAGTTAACATTCGGTTTTTTAAAAAAACAAAAACAAATATATTTATGATATAATTGGAAAATAAAACAGTTAAGTATCAAATAGTGATTAAATTTCATAAGCTGAAATATCACAGTATTAATTTAAATCTATTTGTTTATTTACTAAATGTTACACATCTCAAAATAATAAACTTTTCATTTAGCGCTAACACATAGTAACTAAGCAACAACAAAAAAGAAAGAAAAATAAACACTATACAATTAGATTGTCAAATTTTATATAAAATACTACAGATCTAATTTTAAATAAACAAGATAAATTCATTATATATTTTATAATGATCCAATTAAACTTTACATAGAAACATCTATATTACTTATTATCAATGAACCAATGTATCTATGCAAAAAATACAAAAAGTAACATATATATGTATGTAACAAAATTAAAGCCAAACAAAATAATCATAATTCAACATTCACGATTATAATTTTCAATATTCAAAACAAAAGTGTGAAATGTTTTAGGGAAGAAAATGTATATTAGAGAGGAGAAAAGAAAACATAATGAAACTCCCCCCCTTATTCTATTGAGTTGTACTTTAAGGTTTTGGATCATAGTTATTAAACATATCATAATAAATAAATAAGATTGATATATTTCTACTTTTTATGAGCGTCTTCTGTTGTTGTTGTTGTTGGTAGTGGTGGTGGTGGTAAATTCACAAGATTTTCAATCTTACCAACAATGGTATCTGTTTAAAAAAGTGTTTAAGCCAATTGATTGGTTTAAACAAATTATTATAAAATGTATAAATAAATAAATAGTGAATGACTATCAAAAACAAAACAAAAAAGAAACGAATCGGTAGAGCGAAAGATTTTAGGTTAGAAAAAGTTTTGGTATAAAAAACAATACCATACTTATTTGTTTACTATTCTAGAACACGATAGAAGCAAAAACAAACAAAAATAGTAAAAAGAATTCTTGATGAAACTGTTTTTAATCCCTGAGGTCATTAGCGATTGTTCCTGTCTGTTAGATTACCTTCTTTTCCGCATCAATTTTAATCATTTTTTTATAATTGATCAGTCTATAATTTATAATTAGAAATGACCGAAATAAGATATTGTCAGCTGTTGTAAGAAAAAAAAACAGATCAAAAGAGAATGAGCTGTTTAATTTAAAGTTCACAATGTAAACATACATATCATACTCATGTATTCCTGATAGTAATATTTTGAATTCTATGAGCTTCTGTCAGAATATAATGAACTTAAAAGGATAGAATATTACTGACTATATTTTGTGCTAGTGGCCAATTGTTGAATTTAGAACATGGATATCGTAATCTAATAAAACTTTAAGTATAAATAATATCAAGACATCTATCAATTAAGGGCCTATATATAGTCCCAGAGTCCAATCATATTAAGTCTACCACACCGAAGATAACTATAAAGTCATAAAAAAGGTTATTTCATGAATTAAGTTTTCCTGCAGACACAACTATCTGATATGATAAGCCAATCGGAAATGGCCCAATGAGTTCAGTTGATGGAAATCACAAGTGTCCTGAAGGACAGATGCATTTCATTGTCTATGAAGTGGATTAATTCCTAAAGGTATAGAATTGTCAATGTATAAATGTGTGCATCTTATTCGGTAGTCCAACATATATTTTCAACCACTTTTGTCTTCGCGCTCAACTAGTCAGTCAGGGGGGGTAGCGGATAACACGTCGGGCATCAGTATCAGATTTCGGACACTGCCCATCATAATATTATCATAGTTTCGTCAGAAAAATGTTTAATATATCACTGTAAGCGTTACGATAAAATCAATTTCGGGTGTTGTTATATATAGGAAACGATGGAGCAATTAAGTAATAGTTAGCTCGTTTGTGCACTATCACTTAAAAAAGATCCAATCCAAAGTACAAGTGAAAAGAAATATATGAAAACATTTCACATCTGAAATGAATATAGTCCGTTCATAAGTTTCCTAGTAAGAAATTTAACTTACAACATTTTACGTCAATAAAGGAGCTATGGATGTATACAATCAAAACGGTAAAACTTTAGGAAACAAAAATAATAATATTTTGTTAATTCAATGATACAATAAAATAAAACAAAATTTTGTTATATATGAAAGAAATACTTACCTTAACTAATATGCCAAGTTGATCTTAATGAATTAGTATAAGGACGATTATACACATTAGGATGTTTTAAATGTGGTTCATGTAGATTATAATGATTCATTTTTGACGGAAATGTACCAGATGTTGTTGTCATTACTGGAATTGAGGATGATAATAATGAATTGGTCGTTGATGCTACCGATATTGTTAGTGGTACAGTATAGTCTACTTGTCTTTGGAGGTTTATTGATGGTCGAAACGAATCAGATTTCAATTGATCTAATGTATCTCTGTAATACAAAAGAAATAAGCAGAATATTAAGATCTAATGGACAGAAGTCAATCATATGAGGTATACTTTCAAGAACTATTTTGACTAGTATTTTTAGATGCGTGGGTATTATTTACCTCTACTTTACAATAGATTAAAGTCATTATTTTGTAAGGGCCACTATAGGATTTTTAGTAATATATATATATATAAGATATCTCCTGGAATTCTAGTGAGAAGCAGTGACTAGTGGAGTTCAACCAGGTCTGTTGTGAGATAATAACTCACTGAAGATATTGGTGGATGTGTCGATCAATTTTGCGGATTAATTGGAGTTAGAAATTAACATTGTTGAATTCAGACTCAGTGGTCTAGTGGTTAAGCGCTCGCGCGCGAGAATGATAGATCCTGGGTTCGAATCCCGCGAGGCGGAGTCGTGGATGTACACTGATAAGGAGCCCTGCAATGGGACGAAACGGTAGTCCAGTGCTCCTAGGTTTACCATAATCGTCTAACTCCAATTGATTCATGATCTCAACTATTGAAATTACTAAAATCTCCACAAAACCCCTTCTGATAATAATTCTTATATATTTATATTTCGAATAATCACATCTCTCTGAACGAATTTTATTCAAACATTAATATAAATATCTGACATAAATTATAATGCCAGTTTTGAAATATCACTGTATGACCAAATATTAATTTCTGACTTATTATGGTTTTCAAAGTTCATTGAACTAGATACATGAGTCATTTGAACAAAACTGTATAACATTAATATAAACGTTATAGAGGTAATGAATCTGATAAAGACAAAATTCATTCTGACCAATATAAAGTTGATTTATGTTGGGATATTCAGGAAAATATCCCAGAAATTATCCTATTAAGTCTAATGCTATTCTTGGACTTGGACATGGTATGATTTTCTTATTGGTCAGTACTTATTTAACGTGTCATTTTCCTACTGGCTATTATTGTACAATGTTATTTTCTATTTTATGGTACGTTGTGGTCTGATTGACTGGTATATAAACAAAGTATGTTTGAAATATAATGATTCATATATCCGAGGCTGTGACTTGCGTTCTGAACTCAACTGCTGGGCTAGACAGGGAAGCGGGGCCAATCAGAACCCTAGGTCGTCCCACGTGTTTGCGCGTCTTTGGTCCGATCGATAATTCGCTACCCTCTATCTGCTGCCGTCACAGTTATAACAATTTATCAAATTATATTTTTATACTATTATAACAATAAATTAGAAGCACATTTTTTCATATGTGATAACCATGATAAACAGTTTCAAAGGTGTATCAACTTATGATAAATAGTAATGTAGATTATGCGTTATGTATTGTCACATATAGTTGTACTATTATGTTATATAAACCGTATAACATGGCAAATGATAAATTGCAATTTCAAAGGGAAAAGTAAAAAAAGAATACCAAAGAACATTGCTCTGGGAATTGTAAGAAAACGTCTAAAGAATGAATTGCAACTGGAAACAATTGCCCAGAACAGAGTTCAATGGAGAATGTTGGTGGGCAACTTATGCTTCTCCACGAAAGGTAACAGGCGTAATTAAGTAAGTATATTATAATTCTTCAGGGAATTTATTTATACTACTTGTTCTTTTTTAGATTTATGATTACTAAATTTACTCAAATTATCAGTAGCTGAAATTCCTTTGACTTTTTACTATTTATTTGTTGATATAACGAAGTTTCATGTAGTACATAATAATGAAAGTAATATAAACAAAATCAGTCACAATAGGTTATACGAATTCAAAACATATGTTCTCTTAAATCTAGAGTTAAGTGTCCTCTTGTACAGAACATTCTTTAACCCCATTTAGTTTCTTATGAATTATATTTATGTTTAGCCTTCCATCGATGATACTACATTAACTTGATTGTTATTTATCTTGTTTTGTCTTTTTTCTTTTGCTAGTCTAAGGTGTTTCAACTTTTACCAATGCTCAATTGCGTCAGGTCCCATGTTGTCTAGGACTAAATATGTAACTTGATAGGGAAATTAACAGATTTTTAATGCAGCATATGATATGTGCTTTCAGTGGATACTGATATCTTTGAAGTGAAAGTCAATTATTGACTAATGTGCGTAAATTTAAATCTATTAAACTTTTAGGAATGTCTTAATGGTGACAAAAATTTCTGACTTCTAGTAAGCGGTAAATAAAATTATAACAATCTACTGTATTAAATTCACTTAGTTTTGTTTACTTGAAACTTCCCATTGATGTTTACGACTGCAGTTGATCAGTCTCTTGTTGGCATAAATGCATCCTGTGTGGATTGCCTTGATACTGCCTTATGTCACAAGCTTTATAAGCAAAGATGGATGGTGACTAGCAGTGGAATACAGGACGCGCTTTCCTTCCTATTTGGGACTTGTTAGCTGGGGGTACCTGCACCCCAGAATTGATGTTTGACGTTTGAAGTGAACGGTACTGGGTGTGAGTCCCAGAGTGAACATCCACTCTGCGATGCACTTACATTCAGCTGAAAAGTCCCAAATAGGACGAAACGTGCGTCCTAGACCTTATTGCTAGTCACCATCCCTCTTTGCTTATACATTTACTATATTGTTTGTTTAATGTTCGGCCATATGCAATCTTTAGTTTACATCTCTATAAAAGTCTATGGTGAACATAATAATGTCTATTTATCAAGAGATTGCATAAAGAATGTATCTTTGAATAATATAGAAAATTTTCCCAAAGAAATAGAAACTAAGATCACATTTAAAAGATCCTGATATATTGCTTTTTTCACTTCATTTTTGAAGGTCCGTTACGTTTTACAATTTGGTAGGATTTAGCAAAGCGGATTACAAACGTCTTCAGGTTTGAACACAATTTGACTTTTGAAAAGTTTTTTTCCGACATTTTTATTTTCTTATTCTTAACTGTTGACAAGTAATTTTTGAAACTGTAAATACAAACTTTTTTTCCACAACACAATTCATATTTCGATAGTATAATAATATTGTGTATCGCGAGGTGGCTACTCTAACTTCTACCGATTGACCAGCTTCAGATATCCCAGTTCGACCCCAATACTGTTCCCAATCTCCAATATATCAGAACACGAACCGTAGATGAAAAATTGTTTATGGGGTCAGGAGCCGAATGATGAATTACAAACAAATGCATATTTATGCAGTTAGGATTACTATAAATATTGACCAACAGAAAGATAACACGTGAAATAATATTGACCAATGGGGAAATGACACGCGAAATAAATATTGATTAGTAGGGAAACGACCAATAGGAAAATGACACCATTTAACGTTCAAGGGTAGCATTAGACTTAACCGGATAATTGTTTTTGGGATATTTTTCTGAGTATCCCAACACCTCCCCTTGGAAAAGTTAATAGCGACGTAATCGAGGATTTACTTGAAGTTTCTTTGGGTGTCTTCTTTTGCGATCCGACCTCCGAGGCAACCACACAGAACCAGAAGGATGTTCTACTTGAGTAGATGACTTAGTCGTCTCTGTTGGAGGTGTTGGTGGAAGTTGAAACGTGTCCAACAGCAGGTCGAGTGGAACGCTTTTTGTACTTGCTTCTTTCTCCTTCGCTTCCTTTGGCCTGACTTGATTGTGGTGCCTGGTCCAGATTTCTTGGTTCACTTTGACATCATACATGACGTCCCCATGTTTCTTTGTGATTTCACCCTCTACCCATCTATCACATCCGTGTCTATAATCTCGCGCATACACTTTTGTACCAACTTTGTAGGGAATTCGAGTATTCTTCATCTGCGGGTTTTGTTGCGCCACTTGCTTAGGTTTCATCGCACAATAAACTGTCCGTAGCTTTCGCCCCATAAGCATCTCAGCAGGGGATTTGAAGTTTGGCAATAAGTCATGCGGGGTCGTCCGGTACGCAACTAGGAATCGTTCTATGATATCTTCTGTGGTCCCCTCCCCTCGTGCTTTAAGCATGGCTCGCTTAAATGTATCAACAAACCTTTCAGCTTGTCCATTAGATTGCGGGTGATATGGCGGAGAACGGACATGGTTGATCGAATTTCGCATGCGAAATTCTCGGAATTGGCTAGATCTGAATTGTGAACCATTGTCTGTTACTATTGTTTCTGGAAGAGCATGCTGAGCGAAGATCCGATTGAGGAGTTTGATGGTTCGAGTTGTAGAGGGTGGCGCAATTGGCAATATCTCCGGCCATTTGGATTAGGAGTCAACCAGTATCAGATATGTGGTACCATCTAGGGGTCCGATGAAGTCAATATGCACTCGCGACCAGGGTTTTTCCGACTTTGGCCAGGGTACTGGAGGCAACTTAGGAGGATTTTTCGCAGCTTTTTGACAATGCGAGCATCTTTTGACGAAGTCGACAATTTGCTTGTCCATATTCGGCCAATATGCATAACTGCGAGCGATGGATTTCCTACGGTTTATCCCTGGGTGTCCGGAGTGGAATTGGTGTAGGATCTTGGAACGTAGGGTTGTTGGAATTACTACGCGATCACCGAACATCAAACAATCGTTAACAATACAGAGTGCGCTGCGACGATTCGCTAGCTGTTGCATATCATCACTCAGCTGCTTAACTGGCGATCTACTCTGAACATAGGTGATCGCTTTTTGGATAATCGGGTCCTCTCTGGTAGCTTCCCGAACATTTTCAGCGGTAACAGGCATTGCTCGAATGGCATTCGCTAATATAGTAGCACCAGAATCCTCTTCGGTTGATACTATGGCTATGAGTGTGTCCTCATCAGTAGTAGAAAGGTTACTGATAAGTCTGGACAGTGCATCCGCTTGACCAAAATCTTCGGAACGTCGATACTGGATGTCGAAGTCGTACACCAATAACGCCAACGCCCAACGTTGAAGACGATTAGCAGAATGGGCAGGAATGCCTTTCTTTGATCCAAAGATTGACAACAAGGGCTTGTGGTCTGTGAGCAAGGTGAAACGGCGTCCGTAAATGAATTTGTGGAATCGCCGGACAGGAAAAATTAGGACTAACGCTTCCTTCTCTATCTGGCCATAGCGTTTCTCAGCAGGTGTTAGTATTCTCGAAGCATGCATCACCGCTTTCTCTGACCCATCGGGAAATACATGTGAGAGTACGGCACCCAGTCCATGTGTTGAAGCGTCAGCAGCAACCACAATGGGTAGCTTCGGATTGTAGTGGGTTAGCAGAAGATTGGAACTTAGCATGGCTTTAAGTTTTGAAAAGGCTGACTCACATTGCGTTGACCAATTCCAAGTAGCATTCTTTTCTAGCAGACGATTCAGTGGACATCGTACGTCATGCAGTGATGGAAGAAATGCTGAATAGTAGCTAATCATTCCCAAAAATGATCGCAGTGAGGTGACATCAGTGGGAGCAGGCATTTGTTGGATTGTGTAAGTATTTTGAGGATCAGGATGTCGTCCGGAAGCATCAAAAATAAACCCCAGGTACTTAACGAAACGTAAGAAGAAATGGCATTTTTCTGGGCGAAGGCGGAAACCATTATCCTGGAGGCGTTGCAGAACTAAGTGAGTTCTGGTATTCAATTCATCAGCAGTTGAGCCGACAATGAGGACATCGTTAAGGTACGTAGCAACACCAGGAACATCCGCTAGAATAGTGTCCATGATCTGCTGGAAGATCGCTGGAGCAGTTTTGATACCAAAGGGTAACCGGGTATACTGAAAAATTCCTCGGTGAGTGTTGATTGTCAACAACTCTCTGGATTCTAGAGCGACTGGAATTTGAAGGTAAGCATCTGCCAGATCCAGCTTAGCAAAATAGGTACCACCATTTAAAATAGTAAATAAGTCATCTGGGATCGGCAGCGGATAGTGATGCTGTTGTAGAGCCGCGTTGAGTCCTGTGGAAAAGTCTGCACAGATGCGTATGGAACCATTAGATTTTTTTACAACCACAATTGGTGCAGCCCAAGATGAATAAGAAACAGGTACCAGAACACCCTCAGTTTCCAAACGTTGAAGTTCAGCGTCAACCAGAGGTAAAGATGCGTATGGGACTGGACGCTTTGGGCGAAAAACTGGCATAGCTTCTGGCTGCAGTCTTAAAACAGCTTCAGTTGTAGTACAAAGTCCGAGACCAGGCTGAAATAGTTCAATAAATCGTTTTCGAAGGTCGTCAGCATGCTGTTGTGTCGATGCAGTAGTTTGGACTTGATTGCAGATAGAGTTAATAGGAAGATCAGCGAGACCAAGTTCTTCGAACCAATCTAAACCTAAAAGATTGAGCGGGGAATTGGTGATGTAGCATGTCCCATTGAAGGTTGTACCTCTGAATGAAATGCAGCAACAGAGTTCACCATGAAGGCGGAGATGACCCCCACAGGCACTGACGGATGTCTGAGAGGATGGTTTGATGGGAGGTTGACCCAAGTTTCGCCAAGTCTTTTTCGACAGAATGGTGATATCTGATGCAGTGTCCAACTGCAAACGAACTGGCTGACCATTGATTGAGAGGGTCAGAAATTTGCGTCGAGTCGCGGCATGAGTATGGAAGACTGCTGCTAAACTCCTTGATGAGGTAATCGGCTTTTTGTGAAAACGACGCTGCGTCGGTGCATTTCGACGGTTATTGGATCGGCTGGATTTGCAAAAGCCGCTTTTGTGACCAACTTTCTGACAACGATCGCACACATGCTGTTTGAATGGACAAAACTTCACATAATGCCAGGCTCCACAATGCCAACATGGAGAGGGGCTTCTTCTGAGCCGGTTTAGAGTGATTAGAGACAGAAACAGCGCTGGCGTTCGAAAGACTCGAGGTCGTCGATCTCGAAGATTTTTTTGGTGCTGAACAGCATGAACTTCGGAACCACCCTGGCCACCAGATTGAACCAAAGTGGTGTTACGCTGCAGATTGATGATGCGCTGGTACTCGTCTATGATCGCACTCAGTGTCAGTGTTGGATCTTGTTCAAGGCGGTTAAGCAAATGAGTTCTGATGTCGGAGAATTTTGGTGACTGAAGACTGCATATTAGTATTAGGGACTTGAATTGGTCTTCAGTGAGGGATCTGAGCTTGAACCGTTCGCACTGACGGTTAACAACGCCGACATGGGTCAGGAAGTCATCGGACTCATTCATGATAAGTTTTAAGCAGCGATATCGAGTACTGAAGAGTTAGTGATGATCACCAAAAAGTTGGCTAAGGGACTGAATAGTGGCGTCGAATGAACGGTCGCGTGGGTTCTGCGGTAGAATAAAGTTGCAATACTTATCCAGCTCGGATGGACCAAGTTTACGAAGCAGGAGACGCACCTTCCACGAATCATCTCTGTCAGCAAAGTCAACTTTGAAAAGGTCTTCATAACGTCTGAACCAGGTATCAAATGTAATGTTGGCATCAGGATCATAAAGGAATTCTGAAATACCACTGGTAATACCATCAACTGATTCAGGAATTGCCGGTGTAGTTAGATCTCGAGAAGATATGTGCGTGTGAGCAATCATCTCCATCAGCTTCAACTGCTGTTCGAACAATTTTTCTAGTTTGGCTGGATCCATAGTTAATCACTAACTTCTTTGCTAAATCTCCGTCGCCAAATTATTGTGTATCGCGAGGTGGCTACTCTAACTTCTACCGATTGACCAGCTTCAGATATCCCAGTTCGACCCCAATACTGTTCCCAATCTCCAATATATCAGAACACGAACCGTAGATGAAAAATTGTTTATGAGGTCAGGAGCCGAATGATGAATTACAAACAAATGCATATTTATGCAGTTAGGATTACTATAAATATTGACCAACAGAAAGATAACACGTGAAATAATATTGACCAATGGGGAAATGACACGCGAAATAAATATTGATTAGTAGGGAAACGACCAATAGGAAAATGACACCATTTAACGTTCAAGGGTAGCATTAGACTTAACCGGATAATTGTTTTTGGGATATTTTTCTGAATATCCCAACAAATAAGAAGACGAAGATTATCAGAACTATGTGCAATACATTCCAAACAAGCCGATCATACATATACTTGTTAAGAACAAACCAGGTCTGTTATGAGGTATCATCTCACTGAAGACAATGGTGTACGGTGGTGCAACTTCGTGGATTGGTTGAAGTTAGACAATAACACTGTTGGATGCCAGCTCAGTGGACTACAAGTTAAACGCTCGCGCGAGAGACTGATAGGTCCTGGGTTTGAATCTCGAGGGGAGGCAGATCGTGGATACGCTTTGCTGAGGAGTTCCACACTAGGACGGAACGATCGTCCAGTGCTTCAAGCCAATATTACCAATATTTCATTATTAAAATTTATCAAAGTGTTTTACTGCTTTACAATTCATATTCACCAGTTCGAATATTAATTGGAAAAAGTTCAAATCAAAACATGAATAGGTAAATTAAATTTATTCAACGTACCTTGCTTTTTGTAATCTAAGCATAACGGATTTATCATATAACTCGTTTGAATAAGACTCTCTATTAAATGACTGCAGTAAAAGAAAATAATAATAACAGAAAAAAATAAGGATTAGTTTTTTTGAAATGCATCAACTTTTCATTAGAATAGTCGTATGTTATCCAAATCATTGGCAAATATATGAAACAGTAGCTTTATTTAAAATAGATGGTTAAAACTGTGATTGATAATATGCATTTCATCCTATTTAGAATTTATCAATTGAATTTGCCTCCTGATTAAAATACATTTAGGAAAATATCAATAACTCAAATGGTTCAAACTTAGACACAAATTATTCTAGCTAGATTAGGTGAGACTATAATTTATGAACAACCTTTGAGCGATGTCGAAATAACCCTCAGAATGTTCACCTAATAACAAGAACTAAATGAGGTTAATAAACCAGTGTGGGGAAATAGAATTGTGATTTGCAGTTGATGGTTAAGATTAGTAATTAGATTTAGGAATTTCATCACGAAGTGACACCAACTATAATGTCGAAACTCTATTTATCCGAATGGATGAATGAATTTCGCGCCAAAATCCGAGACCTGTTATCTCACATATGATTGGTTCGTCCATAAATTAAAGTCTTACCTACGGTTAGAGTGTTTTGTTGGCATATGTTAATCTGCGAGGATTTTCTCGTTACCGTCTTAAGTCACAAGCATTATAAGTTGAGATAGATGGTGAACGAAATGAGCGTCTTGGATACCACTGTTAGCCACCAACCATCTCTCCTTATAAAAGTAGAGTGATTTTGAGTTTCTAGATGATAATTTTTTGTCTAATGTCTAATTAATCACATATACATTAACTGACTACTGATTTTTAAATACTAATGAACCAATGCAAATCGAATAGCTATTTTACTTCAGTTTGTGAAATGTTGTTAGTCCATTTTAAAATGCCATCTAAACAATTTATTAATTATATCTATATGAATAAATAGCATTTTCATGGATTTCCTGAAATTCTAACAAGAAGCTATGACTAACAGAGTCAAGCAGTTCCATACTGTGACATTAATTTGTTGACGGTATTGAATAAAAATCGTAACATTTCACAAATTCTTTAAAAGTGAGAGCATAAGCACCTGGATTTTGAGACCTGAATTTGCCATATACCATTCAATGTATATTGATCTGTAAGCAACGCTGAGGAATATTGAACTAGGAAGAAACGACTATTTAGTTCGCCTTGTTTTTGTATGGCTCCTCAAATAACATCATTTCCTGATTTTAAAAAATCATTATTATACACTTTCATTTTACTCGAATTTTTCCTTAGTTCATTGGTTTATTACAACAACAATTAAAAATAATCATTTTACCTCATGAGAATCACTATTCGGTAATTGATTCATTGAATTGAAATTAACCGGTTCCATAAGACCCATTTGAAATTGTCTTAATAATGATTGTACAGAAGAGGCAGCATCTCGTGCTTTTTCTTCAATACGACAAACACTGTTTGCTAAATCTGCATAATCTGAACGTAATTTTTCTAGTAATAAATTTGTTGGATTATTTCTAGAATCAAATGGTTTCCGTTGATTTGAACAATAATTATATGGTGAATGCTGATTATAATTTCGGTCATAATGATCAGTGATATGATTAACATCATGATGACACTGCAAATGATGTTGATTTTGGTAATGTCTATATTTAGTTGGTGTATAAGTAGGCAAATTGAATGAATCATCTTTAATCACTGGCTTGTATAAATTTGTTACATAACTTTTTCTATTATGATCGTCATCAATATCGTGATTATTTGTTAATAAAGTTGACGGTGTTTGTGCAAAGTTTCGTGTACTTTCACGAATTATTGAGGCTTGTTTTTGTTGCTATGTAAAATTGTATTCAGAGTAAAATAAACAATTTAAAATAAAAAAATCTTTTAGAAAGAGTTATATATATATATATATATATATATATATATATATATATATATATATATATATATATATATATATATATATATATATATATATATATATATATATATATATATATATATATATATATATTAGTTCTGCACTTTTGAATCAAGGAATCTTTACTAGGGTAAACTAGCTTTGTAAAGATGTGTTCCATTCTGAATACCTTAGAAGGATATAAATACATTTGTAAATGATTCTGGATAGTCTCTGGGCGTATTTTCTTGGTATAAACTAATTATTAGTATTGACGGGTTTGGGAAGCTATAATCTGAACTAAATATGCTGATATTCTGATTAGTTTACGTTTCTGTATACCGTAAGTTAACCTATGGTAGTTCATCATTAGTGTTATGATTCAGCATAGAGTTTACTTGAACAAGGAAACAAGTTATTAATGATAGACGAATTTGTATTCTATCATTACTATTCAATAATTTTAAATAGTCTTCTTCTTTTCTAGTCTAAGTGTTTCAGGAACTCTTTTAAGATAACTCACTGGTCGAATAATAACGTGTGTTTAACTTAGAAAAGGGTAAGAATTATGTTCGATGCGCTTTTCTGGACTATACTTCAGCTTTTGATTCTATACCAAGACAACGTTTACTTAACAAGTTAATCAGCGTCAACACCGACAGCTGGATAACCAACTGGCTATGTTCCTACCTTTCTGGAAGGGAACAGTACACTGTGTTTGGAGGGGAGTGTTCATAGTTTCTACTGTCTCATGAAGGTGTACCGCAAGGAGCTGTTCTTTCACCTCTTCTTTCCTCTTTTTTTCTGCATGATCTGCCATCTTCCACAGAAAACACTTTTTTGAAATATGCGGATGATCTCACTGTATGTATGCCTATCTCTTCCTCTTTACATCCCATAGAAATGAATGAGTTTTGTCTCGTATTGATTGTTGATCTGTTGGTAATAGTCTCATACTTAATCCGTCTAAATGTCAAGCTGTTAACTTTAGCATGAGACATGAACGTAATCTAAACACCATTTTGTAGTTCCATAATACCTGTGCCATTGGAGAATCTTTGATAAACACAGTGTCGAAGGTCAATTACCTTGGTGCTACCTTTTCTTCTGATCTCTCTTGATCTTCCCACGTTTTATTGTTGTCGAAAAAGGTTTTCCGTCTAACTTGCTACATAAAGAGATTGCATGCTCTTGGGATTACTCGTCATGTATTCTTACAATTTGTCAATTCTCGCATATTACCTATTATTCTCCATTATTCTTTCCCGGGCTTTTGAAAAAAGACTTTGCTGTGTTGCGAAGAGTGCTGAAGGAAGTTGGCAAGATATGTGGTGAATTTTTCGAGGTCATAATTAATATGGTTGTGGATAGACATCTAAAGTCATGCAAACTCCTGTCAGATGTTATTTTATCAGACTCTAACCATCCCCTTCACTCTTATCTTTCTCCTTGTATATCTTCTGGTAGAACGAGACGTAATTATATTAAAATCCATGCACACAAGCAAAAGTATCAAATTTCTATAATACCTTACCTAGCCAATATACTCTGTTGCGAACAGGTTGTTAGAGTCAATCTAGTGAATAACCTGCATTCTTAACATGTTTCTAATTGGAAAAGTTGTACAGTTTTTTTCAGGTTTTCTTTTTAAACCTTTTTTTGTCTTTGTTACTGTTTTTTTTGCGTAAGTAACTTGTTGAAATACCCTGTGCTGAGAATTTTATATTATACCAAAATATAATACTGAATTATTAATAATAATTATTAATAATAATCATAATTATATTTAGAATTTTAAGCTTTAATTTAGGATTCAATATTTTGGTTCTGGTTGGTAAAATTTTAAACTAATCGATATTGTCAAAAATATATATCTGTTAATATTATTACTTGAACATGATTTTCACTTACCTTATTTAACAAACTATTAACCATTTCATTAGCTTTATTCAAAGCATGTTCTCTATTTTCTTGTAACTTTTGTATATCATGTAATCTTTGACGTAATATTCTATTGGCCGATGTTAAAGCATCAACTCTTGGATCACCTAATATTGGATTACTTAAACCTTGTTCATATTTATCTCTAAAAATTAAACAAGACATAAAGATTTCAAGTAAGTAATTAGTGGAAATAGATTATTTTGTTATGATGATAGACTAAATATATTTTCATTAAGAAAATGTGACATATATAATCGAAAACAGTACAACACCCAAATAGCATTAAAATAGAACTCTCAAGGATAGTAATCACTTGTTATCCATTAACAAACGTCTTATATATACTAATCAAAAGTACATAGAAATAGGATAAAAAAACATTAACATAAATAAGGTGAACAATTATTTTTACATAAAGGACTGATGTTAGTTGGAAAATCACTGAAAACAAGGAGGCATTGGACAAGCGTTATATCATAGTATGAGACACCTCAGTGATGAGGATTCACAATCCCGATAGCGATACAGACCAGGACCTAAATGTATCCTTGTAAGTGCTTAACCTCAAGATTACACTTTTATTTTCAATTAAATTGTGATTTTGAGCAATTATCTTTTCATTCTTTTGAAAGATAACTATCTCACACTCGATCATATCACTGAAAGTAATGTTTTTCGAAGTTTATTTATCAGGATTTGTAGATCAAGTTTATGGGTAAATGAAAATGTCACCACTTTTGTTTGTTGAACATTTAACTGAATCCGCCAATATGTCATAGAAGTAACGTTAAAATGTATTCAAATAATAAGTGATCTGATCCTGTTACCTTAATTATAATAATTAGACTTGATTTCTTCACATATAAAGAAACGTATTACATATATGTCACTGAAAGTACTTTGTCATGGGTCAACTAATCATATAATTAATTAATTTAAATATTGATTGTTAACTATCTATTTTAAAAACAACAACTATGAAATTTATTTTCATAAATATACCTTTCAATTGAACCTAATTCTCTTTCAATTGAATGACATCTTCTCCTTAATCTATCCAATGATCCAGAATATAAGTCTGAATTTCGATGAAATGAAGAATTCGGATGAATAGTACATAAATTATTTCGACGTGAACTAAATATAGATTTCAAGAGAAAAGTACATATATATCTTTAATAAAAATTAATAAGAGGGGAATATGTTTATGAAATAAACAGTTACACAAAGAATTTGTTAATAATCTAATGAATAGTAATATTAGTTTCTTTTAAAATTCATAATTCGTTTGCATCAATCAATTATACTACTTAAATTATAACATAATACTTAAAAGTAGTAAAAATGGACTAATTTATGAGTTAACAACAAGTAGAATTTACTTTTATGTGATCAAAGATCAAATAATTATAATAGTAGATTGAAATTAATGATCATGAATTAACAATGCCTAATTTCATGCTTAAATGTTTTGAATTAGCTTGAATTATTTTGTAATATGATTAGAAAGAAATTGAAAATGAACTAATGTTCGTCGTTCTTGTTACATTCCACACTAAAAAAAAACAGGTTTTTTCTCAAGAAATAGTCATGTATTAACACGGTACTTCTAGGAATTTACTAATTAAAAGATGTACACGGACATCAAGGTATTTAAAATAGTCCTCCTATTTACAGTGCTATATGTTAATCCGTTTGAAAAAACTATCTTTGGAAATCAGCTTTTCACAGTCTCTAGTGATACGTTGTAATATTAATCTAATGTTTTTTTCATAATCCATTAATGATAAGCATTACATTTAATCAGCATTTGTAACTTTCTTACTTACTTACTTACACCTGTTACTCCTTGTGAAGGAGCATCGGCCAACCACTAGCATTCTCCATCCAACTCTGTCCTGGGCAATCCTTTCCAGCTCCTTACAGTCATTATTCATCCTCTTCACATCTGCTTTTATTTCTTGACGTAATGTGTTCTTTAGTCTTCCTCTTTTCTGCTTTCCTTCAGGATTCCAAGTTAGGGCTTGCCTCGTTATGCAGTTTGACGATTTGCGTAATCTATGTCCTATCCATTTCCATCGTGTTTTACTCATTTTCTCTTCAGCTGGAAGCTGGTTTGTTCCCTCCCACAGAAGGTTGTTGCTGATGGTATCCGGCCAATGGATGTTGAGTATCTTGCGTAGACAGCTATTTATAAATACTTGTACCTTCTTGATGGTGGTTGTTGTACTTCTCCAAGTTTCAGCTCTGTATAGTAGAAACGACTGGCTTGACTTTCGTATTGAAGATTCTCACTTTGTTATTGGTTGAAACGTGTTCTGAGTTCCATATGTTCTTCTATTGAATGAATGCAGCCCTTGCTTTGCCAATCCTCGCCTTTACGTCTGCATCTAAACCTCCTTGTTCATCGATGATGCTTCCCAGGTATGTGAAGGATTGTAAATCTTCCAGAGTTTCGCCATCAAGTGTAATTGGATTGGTGTTCTCCGTGTTGTATTTGAGGACCTTGGTTTTCCCCTTGAGGCTTACTGATGCAAAGACTGCTGCTACACTGGCTGTCTTTATCTGCATTTGTTCGTGTGTATGCGATAGAAAGGCTAGGTCTGCGAACTATGTGAAATCCAAATCGTCTAATTGATTATGAGATGTCCACTGTATTTCGTGTTTTCTCTCAGATATCTAGGTCTTCATAATTCAGTCAACCACCAGAAGAAAGAGGAAGGAGGAGAGTAGACAGCCTTGTCTGAGTCCGTTCCTCACTTGAAATGCATCTGTCAGCTCTCCTCCATGCACGACATTGCACTGTAGTCCGTCGTATGAGTTCCGGATAATCTAGACGATCAACTCAGGAACTCCATAATGTCGAAGAAGTTTCCATAATGCTCTCCCGTCGAAACTGTCAAATGCCTTTTCGTAATCAGTGAAGTTGATGTATAGTGATGAGTTCCACTCAAGTGATTGTTCGACGATGGTCCATGATGTCGGAATTTGGTCTGTGCACGACCAATCCTTACGGAGTCCAGACTGCTGATCTCGAAGTTGGGCGTCTACTGTGTCTTTCATCCTGTTCAGCAAAACTCTGTTAAAGACTTTCCCTGGAACTGACAGTAGTGTAATCCCTCTGTAGTGCTCACATTTGCTCAGATTTCCTTTCTTTGGAATCTTGATAATGTGTCCCTCTTTCCAGTCCATCGGCACTTGTTCTTCCTCCCAAATCCTTTTAAATAGAAAGTCAAGCATGTTTGTAGTTAATTTGATGTCTGAATTCAGTGCTTCAGTTGGTATATTGTTGTATCCTGCTGCTTTCCCGCTCTTGATTTGTCTGATGGCCATTCTGATTTCTTCCGTCGTTGGTGGATTGATATCTATAGGAAGATCTGTGTATGCTGCTTCGATGTCCGGTGGATTGATTGGAGTTGGCCTATTCAAGAGTTCCTCGAAATACTCTACCCATCTGTTCCGCTGTTGTTGAATTTCAGTGATTAGCCTGCCTTCTTTGTATTTGACCGGTCTCTCTGGTTTACTATATTTCCCTGCTAGTTTCTTCGTTGTATCGTGAAGCTGTTTCATATTTCCTTCTCTTTCAGCTTTTTCCTCCGTCGTTGCTCGTTCTTTCACGTATTTCTGCTTGTCGGCTCTAATGCTCTTCTTCACTTGATTGTTTGCTTCTATGTACTCAGCTTGTGCTTGAACTCTCTCCGCTCGTGTTCGGCTGTTGTTAATTGCTATCTTCTTGTTCTTCCTTTCTTTGATCCTATCCAGTGTTTCTATAGAGATCCATTTCTTATGATGATGTTCCTTGAGGCCCAGAACCTCTTGGCGCATTGAAGTTAATGCTACTTTGATACCTGGCATCTGTAACCCATAACATATTCTGAAACGGTTTACTCTGATTTACGTATGCATATTAATATTAGAGATGATTTAAGCATTAATAAATGGCCACTTTTAGTCACCAAACAAAGAACGAAACGATCAGTTGGTAATGAGCGAATAACTATTAATAAAAGCATTCTTTAAAAATGCAAGACAGTTTCTCACTACATAACAATATTAAATTCGGGAAGTTTTGGAGTGAAACAATAACTACTCATTTATAGTATAGGTCGATTATATAAATTTCACAGACTATTTTACGAAGTTTTAGATAGACAATGATTTGAATTCAAACTTAATTATCCTTCATAACTGGGCACATAACACAACAGAGACTTATTTACAATAATTTGCTTATATTTTATTTAAGTAGTACATCTGGTAGAGTACTAACAACTTAACACATGACTGTAAGATACAGTCTTGAAAAACGTTTACTTGAAGGCAATAAGCTATTTTGTAGTTTACATAAGGGATTAACTTTAACTTGACACCCACTGTAATCCTAGAAGGAACTAGATAGCAATGACTTTGTTGTGGAACAGCATCAAGAGGAAACATCTGTGCAGTATTGTCTGCATTGTGGTTACAATCATACATGCTCAAAACTATTTGCAAACCTTCACTATTAATGATTCATTTCATTGTTGAAAATTATAGCCGAAAAAATTACAATAAACAATTGTTAAGTACTTACTGAATACTCTTGTTGTGTAGTCCATTTTCATTTGAATGGTTTTCATTTTGCAGCTCTGATGAGTGAAGTGGTTTGGGTAGGTTATCTGCATACTCAGAATTAATATATGTAGGTGAATCTGCATTTTGTTTATTTATCTGTAATTAATATACATTTAATTACAGCGAAACTATTAAGAAATTAGCAAAGAAAATTATTTACTTTTTGTTGCTATAGAAGAATAATGTAGGTACTTTGAGTTATATCTAGAACTTATATTCTTCATAAACAGCATATAACGCTAGAATCCACCAAGTCTCAATTGAGAAGACAAAAGACAAATGAAAGGAATGCTATTCCAGACAGTGTCACTTATGATACAAGACTATCAAGCATTTACAGTTTTTAGTAAAAACGAAATCATTATAGTCCTCCAACACACATACAGGGGGTTATTAGCATTTGTTCAATAAGGAAGCTACTTGTCGAGATTCTAGAGATGATTAGACGAAATATCTTCGGCTCTTTCTGAGCTTCTTAGAACTTCCTCGACTTCACCCGTGGACTGCCCTCACGCCATGAACAATAACATATTTCAAGTAAACAATTTTGTCTATAACTAATAACAACAGTTTATGAAGTAACATTATTTAAAGACCAGTAAAAAAAGAAATGATCAAATAAAGATCATAAGTTTCGCAAATGATCGCTTGATAGAAGAATGAATTAACTATTTTAAGTTATTTCCAAGAAGAAGACATTATCCCTGGATATGCTAAAAACTATGCAGGGATTTCAATTTGTCATGTAATTGATCGGAATAAAACTTCAAAACTGAAGTCGAAATTACTGATGTTCAAAATTCAAAGCCTTGAAGTAGTAAATTAGCTGTAATAACATATATATGTATATATAAAATTGAATATAGTTACAATGGTGTAGATCCCATAAAACCAACTTGTGGATAAATACTTTCTTTACATAGATGACTTAATATTGCCGATGAATGAATAACGACAATTGAAAATGGTGGAAGTTGGTAAGCTCCTGAAGTGTTGTGCTTTTTTTTATAAATGAAGTGCACTGTACTGACTTCTGAGTTTTTCTCGGAATTCTGAAGTTTACACGGAGAATCTCATCTTGCAAAACTATTTACAGAGTTTCTTTGGTAAGGTAAACATTAGTTGTGAAACGAAAATCAAGTTCTCAATAACATGGCAAGTTTCAATATAATGTACTATCATCCATACGGCTAGGTTTAATTAAAATAAAAGGCACATCCTAGACGTAATTTTCAAGTAATATTAGAAAATGCTATTTCATTGAGTTCATCAGTATATGTTAATATACGATTATTCCAGTCAGTATATGTAAATGAAGTAATCCCATACGATAATGACAATAATTCAACAAATGATGTCAAAAAAGGTAATTCATTCTGTATAATCAAGTTATGATATGATTACATGATACATCAACTTAAATTTTGTTGTCAGAGGAAAAGGATAATCAAAATGTAATTAGTAGCCAGATTATCAAGACGGGCATTTATAATTTACAAATAGAAACAATGGGTACTGCGGTAAATAAAAATAACTTCAGCCAAATAACAACACGTGATATTGTGAGAGTTTGTGAAGGTTGACATGTAGTGTCATATGGAGTAACAATTACAAATATTATAATTGAGGTGTTCTGTTCCATATAGAACACTCCTTTCATTTCGAAGAAAAGTATCACTGATGAAACCCATCCATCATGAAACTTCGGTCTTAGACTTTCTAATGACTAACTTTAACTATTTAATATTACTTGTTGAAATCATGAGTCAATTATAGCATGATCGATAGAGCCTGGTAAACATTAAGGAATGGCTAATATGACATTTTTCACTAAATTTAAGCTATTCTACTAAAATTGTAACCCATTAGTTTATTTACTCTACAGTATTGTGACTCTACTACATTTTATGACTTAATTTTCGACTCAAAAAAGATGTCAACTTTCAATAACAACAAAAAATTGTATAACGTACGGGAAAATATTCTGAATGAAGATTTGTACAATGTTGATTGCAATCTGGTTTATCATTGAAATCTAAAAAATAACTAATTGGTGAATGAATCGATCTATGATAATCTGAATCTCTAATAGTATTTATTCTATTTTCAATTGGAGATTGATTTCTTTGTGTTCTTTGATTATTTGAACTATGCAATCTTCTTTCATGATGATCAAGATGAATATGATGATTAATGCTATCATTTTGATTATATTCATTTTTATCTAAACTTTTATTGCGTACTTTCAATGAACTACGAACTCGACTGTTTGATCTTGAAGATACTCTTCTAGGTTGTGACTAAACATAGAAAAATTAACATAAATAAAACAGTAGAATAAATGATCACATTTGAATGTATTGAATAAGTAATATTGCACTAAATTCTTCTAATGTTATTTAATAGTAACTGTCATATATATCTATGCCTATGCTCCTTCACAAGGAGTAACAGGCGTAAGTAAGTAAGTAAGTCATATATATCTGATAGAATTGAAAACGCCAGAACTTATGAAAAAAACGTCTAGAAATCAGTAAAATGTTTGTTTGGCTAAATTTCCATAATCTATTATACAAAAAAGATGGAAGTTTTAGGATATGAATACTAATTCCGCCCCCCCCCCCAAAACAACAACTAAATCCAAATATCATCACTTTTAATTATTCAAGTCAATATAACTGACATATCCTAAATAAACAGGATATTTCATATATTTGAATTTAATTGCATAAATAACACCATTTTTTCATGTATATGTACTCATAAATGAATAAAAACAAGTCTTGAAGATTGAAAATACTGCAAAACAAAACAAAAAAAAAAAACAACAAGGAACATCTTAGCTGAAAAAATACGTTTCTTTCCTTCAGGAAGGGATTTTGTACACAGAATAGTGAATTAATAGTTGAATTCGTGAGTCAATTTAAGCTAGAACACCATGGAAAACCTGGAAGCACTGAACGGCCATTTCATCCTAGTATGGAAGTCCTCAATAGTGCGCATCCACGATCCCTCCGCCCGAGACTCGAACTCAGGATCAATCGGTCTCTCACTCTAACGTTAAACCTTTAGTCCACTGAGTCGGCATCCGATGGCGTTAATGTCTAACTTCAACCAGTCTAAGAAATAGAATGACACATCCACTATTGTCTTCAGCGAGTTATTATCACACAACGGATCCGGTTGAATTGCACTAGTTACGAATTCTTATAAGAACTACAGAAAAAACCTGTTGGAGACCGTCACTAGTGAGCATATGTTGATTATAATCAGAAACGGTTTTGTTCACAAAACCCCTTTCTGTTGTGAGATAGTAACTCAGTAAAGACAATAGTGGATGGTGGCGCAATTTCGTGGATTGGTTTAAACTAGACATTAACATTGTTAGATGCCGGCTCAGTAGTCTATAGGTTAAACGTTCGAGCGCGGGACTGATTGGTCCTGGGTTGGAATCTCGATGGGCGGGATCGTGGACGCGCACTGCTGAGGACTTCCATACTAAGATAAAATGGCTGTTCAGTGCTTCCAGGTTTTCCATGATGGTCTAGCTTTAATTGACTCATGAATTCAACTATTAAATTTATTTCTTTACAAATCATTCTTACATAATACTTCCAAATGGTGAAATATCATATTGAAACATTAATTGTGAGAGACACGTTTAATCAACCTTTGTCATAAATTCTCGATGAAAATACTTCTAGTTATCCAATAATTAATTAAATAAACTAAAGCAATAACAATGAGTTATTTTTTGTTATGAATAATAAAATTTGGTGATAGGTGATTATGAAAAATTAAAGGAAATTACTAAGATTTTAAGGTTGTTAACCAGACTAATTATTGATAAACTTAATAATTTGTATAATTCAATAGTATTTTTGAAATTATTTAGAAATTTGGGTGAATACATAATCAAATGTGAAATAAATAATTATTCAACGAATTAATAAAAAGTATTTAGATTGTGGTTGGAGGTAGTCGACAGGAAACCCTGGACCCGGGTTTCGTGCTACTTGGCACTCGTCATCAAGGTATACCTGTAATCTTGAGGGAACTGGTGCTCCCTGGCGGAATCGATCTCGTGTCATCCAGCTTCACAGTCAGAGACGTTACCACTGAGCTATCCGAGGCGCGACCGACCTCCTGTAAGACTGAGATGCAATCACAATTGATTTATCACTGGATGGTGATCAATGTCATGCGTGTCTAGTCCTTATTAGTGCAGATTGAATGCTGTCGATCATGTTGCAGTGTGGCTACCAGTCCCTCAAGATTACAGGTACACCTTGCTGACGAGTGCCATGTAGCACGAAACCTGGGTCCAGGGTTTCCTAACGACTACCTCCAACCACCATCTAAATCTCAATATATAGTGCACGCAGTGTCGAGTCACCTAGACTGGTGGCCACATTGCAACATGATCGATAGCATTCGATCTGCACTAATAAGGACTAGACACGCATGACATTGATCACCACCCAGTGATCAATTAATTGTGAATAAGAAGTATTTAATTTCTTTTGGAAACTTATTCTAAAATATCTTAAGAGCTCTTAATTCTCAATTAATTTTTTTAAATTGTGCAACAGAACTGAAAGTGTTGTCATTAAGGTCATTATAAAAGTTTAGTTGCTAGTTAATTATTCTAAAAAAATATATTTTATTAAATATTATCATACTTAATTATAATGAATGAACGTAATGAGTTATAATGAAAAAAATGGGGTAAGAGTGAAAATGTTCAGTGTAGAAAATGTACAACATGTACAAAAATAAATCATTACATGAATCAATAACTAGTCCTTGCTTCTCTACTACAATATAACCAGGGATTTCATAATGTTGAAACTAAATATTTGCTAATACTTATTGTACGGCTTCTTTAGATTGTAATTTTAAAAGATAACAGTTACTCAATAGTGATTAAGTAAAAACTTCTAGAACTGTTGATAGTTAAAAAAAAAAGTAAAGAGTCTCTTCTTCTCCAAATCAGCTTGCACCATTCAACCTCATAAAAAAGCGGAATTAAAAAGCTTTTTAGTCATATGATGACTATGATATCATTTGATCATAGTATTAGAATACGGTTTTCTAATTTCAGCCAATTAAATCATAGGTATAAAGGGCTTTGGGTAACTTTTATGCAATATCATGAAAGATACGTGGCTTAAAAATTCAGTCAGTTAAACTGCCATCTGATATATTACATGAAAATGCTCTTTACTACATGTAGGAATATATACATATATACTTCTGTGTGAAAATGAGTTTGAACACTATCCTTAGAGTATTCTACGTCAAATGAATGATATGTGAATCTAAAATAGATTTATAAATATTTAAGAATACAAACAGAATCATTAGATGACTTATCTGCGGAACAGTTAGATAAAATGTAATTGATCAAACGAAACATATGATCTTCATATACCTAAATGGTATTTTCTTATGAGATACATCATGTTATCAAACAACTTCAAATAAATATCATAAAAGAGTTTGATAAATTTTATAGGAGTTTTCTTCATAGAGCTATTTAAGTTGAAACATTTTTCAGGTTGGAATTTAAACAATCACATTGATATTCATCATTAGAGTAAAAGATTAATATTCAATCAATATAATCACATATCTGCCTTCAATTACCTTGTTTATATCAAATTTTCAGCAAAAAGAAAATGTAAGTTAGAAAAAAAAGGTAAAGGGGCATTAATTAAATATTGACTAACGGACATTATTAATTAAATATGCCAATACTTTACAGAATCTTACTTTTATTGAAAGTTATAGATTATTATCTCAGGAAAAGAAGTTATACCACTCACGAAACTATTAAAAGTTAAATACATAAGTGGATGGTGGCTAGTAGTTGAATTCAGGACGCGCATTTCGTCCTATTTGGGACACGTCAGATAGATACCAGGGTCCTGGATTTCATTGCTAGCCATCATCCATTTCTAATTATAATGCTTTTAAATTAAGGCAATATCAAGGTAATCGGCATAAGATGCACATATGCGAATAAGAGATTGATCAATTAAAGTCCAATACATCATAGAAAAATTTATACAACCAATACAAAATGTATTAAAAGTTACTTTAGTCGAAGTTGCAGTGCATAAGATACTGACTTCAATAACAGTTTAATATAATTTGACACTGTCGATAGTTAACTAGTAACTTTTTGTGAAAAAAAAGTGAAAGGAAAAGTGACAACAAAACAGTGCTGTCAAACGTTCAACCTGAAATTACTGTACATTATCGGAATCTTAACCACTAAATAAATAAAGATTAAATTATTAATGTAGTTTTTATTTAAAAGAAAATATGTTCTGTGTAAACAATTAAGTTGTCATTGAATCAACGTTTCAATGATAACATTGATGTTAGATGAAGTTAATGATAAATTTCAGGTTAATAACATGTGAAAAGTGTTATTTTTTTTAAATCATTGAATTCCAGTTCAATGAAGTAAATATATTCTATTTGTTTCTCGAAACTTGAAGTTATCATGTCAAATCATCTATGTGTCACTACTATTGTATTAGGGATTTCTGAACTAAAATAAAATGATAATCATAGACTACTTAATTTTTAATGACTTTTCAACTGTTATCAGTTCATTCACTTTCTATTATTACTCAATATTTCAATAAAGACCATAAAACAAAAAATTAATCATTTTGGCAACAGACAAGGCAAGTACAACATTAAACAAAAGTTAAAAAAATGTGTCAATGACTTTTTCCTTTTGTAAATACTACTTTTTTCAATGTCAAAAATCTAAGTCCATAATAATTAAATTCATTGTAATTATTCATTAATCATTAGTTACTGATAATTAAGTCAGTCAGTCAGTCAGTAATAACGTAGAACTTAGTACGTATGTACATCAGTTCGAGTTGCCATATCGCATTAGCACAGAGATACAATTGTCAATTCGAATCCCATAGTGGTAGATGTAATAAGAGTATAAACAATAATCGGAAATATTAGGGCTTGGAAATGTTAGTCAATCCAAAAAATCAACTAGATGAGATTATTTCATACTGTTGGACACTTTTCTAGTTATTACCTTAAATATGATGATCTATAATATGTTAATAAACAGTAAAGGTTTTTTCTTACCATATGAGCTTATCTCACTGGACAACACTGTTTATAGTGATTTAATATGACTAAACATGAATAAAATCCAATTAGTTTAAAACATTGCTCCATATGTGGTGCGTGCTACTTACATTGACATAACTAGTATATAACTCGAGTCAGGAATGTAATGTCTAGCAGCAGAAGA